CTGACAAGCACACGCCAGCTTTTTCGCAGATTCTGAAGAGAGGCCGGATACGCATCCCCGCCGTGGCTCCATCCCATCCCGTACTCCCGTATCATCTTCTTTCGCCATGGCGCATCATTGCAATGATAAAAAGAGTGGACGCCACCAGCCGTGCCCGTGCGTACCCTCAATCTCATCCGCCACAGTGGCGCGGCAGCACTCTCCCTCTCATTCTTTTGGCATGAGGATCCTCTACCGTTCGGCAGCCTGCCGTTCTACCACTGACATGTAAGCCTGTGGAAAACCTGACCCACATGTCAGCGGCCCAACGTCACCTAGCGCACGGCAGAGGAGCCGTGTCCATTCTTTTGATGCAACGACGCACTCTCCTCTGCCAAAGATGAGGAGGATCCATCCACCACTCCCTTTCTCGCCCTGTTCGGCACTGTGCAGCTGCCGCCTTTTCGTGGCCACTCGAGCCCTTCCACGGCAAATTGACAATTTTTGACCTGTAGATGAAATCATTTCACAAAATAAACTCTCTTTAAAAGAAATTCACTCAGCTGACCACAGAAGCACTTTGTACTGCCAGCACAAGCTGGATCCGTCGCCCAGCTCGAGCCTGTGCGTCCTTGGGCGTTGCATGCACAGCAGTGGCCCCAGCCCCAGTAGCTAATAATTGGGTTGGATTAGGGCTGTACTTCCCATGACACCAAATTATAGGGCTGTACTTCCCATGACACCAAATCCATGTGCAAATAATACAACAAAAATCAAGCTTTAATACACAAAGCTAAGGGTGCAATAACTTGATCCAAACCTATCTTTGCCGCTACCTAACCACACCCCTTGTTTGCTTCTCCTCATCATCTTGTGTGTGTTTGTGGTCTCTTAATTGTGCACATCGTAGTGGCTGCCACCCTGCATGCATGCACACGAGCCATTAAGAGGGAAGCACGCAGCGCCCTGCTCCGCTGTAGATCTACACAAGCAACAGCACTGACGCACGCCTTTGCAAGTCTTTCTGGTGCTATAGGAGCCCAATTCAACCTCGCATGTGCATGCCCCATGCATGCAACTGCCCCTCCGGACAATCTCTCATGTCTTGGCATGGTTTTTCCGAGGCATTTAACTGCATATGGCCCATCGTTTAGGCTGGTCACAGTGGGGAGGAACTTAGGAGTAACATCACACACTTCAATACAATTTTGCTTATGTGGCACGTATTTAATGAAGAGAGAGGTGCTTGTGGTAACTAGCTAAGTTACCGGAACATCACACACTCCAAGAAACAATGAGTCTATAACCTAATAAATACATCGTTGCATGACACTACATAGATGTTCCTACCCACTATGAAGGTAGTAATATAGTCTAGAGAAGTGTGAAGTTACTAGCTTATGTTCTTGCCCATTGTGACCAGCCTTAGCACTGCAGCTTTGCTAGGGCAGCAATGGCGGCTTTACAATTACCACCACGCTGATCGGCAGGGGGGGAGGGGAGGGGGCTATGCTCGTGGGAGAGGCTGGATTGGCTGGAGCCGGAGCTGCTCCAGATCCATGCACGAAAAGCGCCTCGTGGGACTTGTCCTCCCTGTTGGTTGGCCAATGGAGCACGCAGCAACTTGTAGATTGTCCTGTCCCCGGCCGGAGCAGTGCGCGCGAGATCACGCTCAGCCTCAGCCCACTGCAAACACCACAGCGAGAAAAATGGTGGGCGAACAGAAGTGACTTTATATTTTGGTGATGAACAGGAGTCGGCTTTGGTGAACAGGAGGGATCTGGTCGAGCCAATGATCTGGAGAGAGTGTGCAATAATGCTGAACCCTCCTCCCATGATTTTTGTTGGCGATGCATGCATGATTGATTGACCCAATTTTTTTAGCAAGGTTTCAGTGAGTAGTCCTCAGCTAATGCAACAAGATGGGCAGATAGATGTCTTTTGCACAGATCCAAGTCCAGCACAAAAATCAGTTTCCTGTTCCAAGTTCCAGCCGGAAACCCGACGTTTATGACCGCCCATAACCTGTCCTCGAAGCATTGTCGGTGAACATGCACGGTCTTTCTTGTTTAAAAAACTACCAAAATTGTGGAAAACATATATACATGAGCATATAGCTACCATGTGCTCTGCAGTTGGCACTACAGCAGCTAGCTGAGACTTGGAACCGAAGTCTCCACCGCTAGGCAAGGGCAAGGCAGGCGCTGAAAGTAACCAGCGAAAGCTACGTTCAGGTCACAGGTATCGCTTCACCCACAACCACTTCATCATCCATCACAAATCGTTGACTAATGCAAAAGCGCTGCTCGTGGTTCGGATTACAGAATATGTTCTCGCAATCCAGCCTCCACAAATGCAAAGCCGCTTTGCTTTTCTTTTTTTGCCCTCTCTTTTTCCTATAATAAAGCGACGTAGGATACGCTTTTGCCGATGTTTCGACAAAAGATGCGCTTAGGGTTTTCCATCAGGAACTTTGACATACGCGGTAGATTGATTCCCGGTACAAATATCAGGCAGAGAACATGAGGGAAATAGCTTTGTGGGATTTAGTGGAGCATGCACCTCTACTTTCCCTAGGGCTTCATACACATGTGGACATGGTAGCTGTGTTCCAGTGTTATCTTCTCCATTCTTTTGAAGAAGAAAAGCTCCAGTGTTATCTTCTCCATTCTTTTGAAGAAGAAAAGCTCCAGTGTTATCTTGGATATTTAGGAACATGACACTACTACTTCATCAATCAGCAAAAGGGCCAGAAAAGGTGATGTGACGGATTTGTTGTAAAACCAAGGTGTTGTTGACACACTATAAAGGTAAGCCTATCGACCCAATCTTATCACTGCTCGTATGCTCATATGATTGCCCCATGGCCCACGCCGGATGAGGTAGTTAGCAGTTACTAAACCTGAGCTTGACCGTTTAATAATCATGAGATGAGATGCAAAAGTTCTTGACCAAACCAGTGATAAAAGGGAGAACCTTCCAGCTCATGCAACCCATAACTCCCATCTGCAGCAGCTGCACCAAGGAGGAGGAGAGGAGTTGCTTCACACTTCTTGCTGATTTTGGAGCCACTGCGGTGCTGCTGGAGGTTGGGCAGCAACGGCACATGCCATCTGCTGTACTACGTCTACGTGTGTGTGAATGAAGCATCGCAGCTGCAGCAACCAGTGTGAAGGCACTGCACACAGAGTAGTCTCATCACAAACGTCCCAACAGCAGGCACCAATCAATCTTACTACTACCCGTGATGTTGACATGAATTATCTGAACTCGATCTCACCCACTTGCGGCGATCCGATCTGAGGCTGCATTTAATCACTTGTCTCGCACTAACAATTGGACAAGCAACAATCTTCCAAAACCGCCATTGCAGCAGTGGAGCCTCAGGTTCTGTTCATCTACCAGAGCACTGCCGGCTAGCTAGCTACAAGGACCAATGAAGATTGCACATACGCAGACGCTGTGCGGCCATGGCGTGTAGCCTTTGCGGCTTTCCTCTCGGTGAATCAACAAGCACCGCACGCGCCCTTTGATCATCAGACGGCACCGCAGCCGCATTTCAAGCAACCAGAGCTTCACTTGCTTCCTCGTCTCTTCCCATGGCTGCTCTGCCTGACTGCATGCATGAGGTTCGTCTTTCGTCTTCTTCAGCTGGACGTTCGGAACAGTAGCCAGTTGTTTTGACAAGATGTGTCGAGATGAGCAGGGGCAACCAGTCCCAACCACTGGACGGGCCTACCATGGAGATCAATAGCGATCTCCTGTTGCAAAAGAAGAAGTGTAGGTTTTCTCGCCGTTGTTCTTGCTCGATCATCATCGGCCACGGACAACTAACTTGCAAATCCGGATTACTTGCAGGGCGATGACTGTTTGCAGCAAGTAACAAAAGAGCGAAATATTTCGCCTCGTGCAGGTTTTACTGTCCTTGTCTGATCCTCCATCGCCATGGGTTGGCATGCATCTGCCGCCCCCGTCCTGAGCTCTCACCCAGAGCAGTCAGTGAGTGAGTGACTCGCGGGGATGAGTCAAACGATCGACCGGTCATCACTCCCTCATCATTTGCCACCTCCCTCCCTATCATCCTTGGATGCTGCTTTCCTTTCCTTGCAGGAAGGATTGGCCGCATTTCAAGCAACCAGAGCTTCACTCGCGGTGCCATCAGAGGTACTGTAACTCTCTGTCTTGATCAATATAGCTCTTTGAACTGCAAAAAAAAAAGCATTTGCAGTGGGGGAAATCAAGGAACTGCTCATTTAGTTTAGCCATCGTGTGATAGATAAAAAGCTGAAGGCGGCTAGGGAGAGGCCTAGGGCTATCAAGACAAGATAGGCGCGAGGCAATAATCACTGGATGGACCAGGGCCAAACTTTCGAGTAAGGAAGGAACCCCTATCCCTATGGACGGACGGATGGAACCTCCAGGTTGTGACGGTAGGTCCTCTGGTAATGATGCCAGCAGCCAAGCCTCAGGATTCACAGGAGATCACGAAAGGACAGCCTCCCTGGCCCTCAGCCTCAGGGAGGGCTTTTCAAAAACAAAAACAAAAAAGACTTCTGTTCAGATCACAAAGCTTGAGACGGGAGAAACAAATCCCAAAAAATTAACATGGCTCAATTCTGGAGAAATTATTGTAGAATTCAGACTAATGAACTAACTGTGGAAGGGAAGGGAAACCATGCGGACAAGAACATGGAACACAAGTGTTAATGAATTTAATCCGATGATAACAAGATCCGCTTCGAAAAATTAGGGAAACCATCGCCGCCGTCCTCGAACACAAGGAAGGCGGCCTCTCGGAGGGAGCAGCAAACAAAACTGAGGAAGCAATGGCGATGAAGGCCCCTCGAAGAAGCTTGCTCCGCCCGCCCGCGCTTATCATCTTCTCGTACAAAATGTTGGAAATGCCTATGAACCCTACAGCTACTACAACAACAATGACTGAACTCAACACTCTGCTGCTGCTCTCATATCTGCGTTCTGCATTTGATCTGCGCCGAGGATGCCAAGCACCTATGATCTTCTCACAGGATCTTCACAAATGGTGGAACATCCTCCCTTGGCCCCTCCAGCGACCGATACATGTATAGGATGTCGACGCCGTCTGTCTTCTCCATCTCAGGCTGGCTGTTTATCAGCTCCACCACCATCCGTGGGAGCTGCCGGGCCACCTCCTCGCAGCCTTGCAGCGTCAGGCTGCAGCCCGACATCCAGACGAACCGCATGTTGTAGAAATGGTGCATACCGGAGAGCAGGCCGGCGTCGCCGAACGGGCAGTCCCTTATCTCCAGCTTCTCCAGCTTGGAGCAGCCCTGGAGGATGTGCTGCAGCGCCAGATCGCTGTCCCCGGCGAACGCCACGGAGAGCGTCCGCAGGGAGCTGCCGTAGTTGCCGATGTACTCGAATGCTCGGTCCGTCAGGTGCCCGGACGTGGAGAGCCTGGTGAGCTTGCTGCAGTTGCGGACAATGGCGCCGAACCCCTCGTCCATCGGCTCCCCCGTCACGTGGTCGGGCCGGTGCCTCCCCATTATGCATAGCCGGAACACCTTCATCTCGGGGCAGTTCTGCGACATGGTGATGACGGCGGCGTTGGTCATCCTCTGGCAGAAGTAGAGGATGGAGCGAAGGTCACGGCAGCCCTCCGAGATGGCGGTGAGCCCGACCTCCGACACCAGCTCGTCGGCGTCCTCGTGCGCGTCCAATGGGAGCACACGGAGAACCTGGAGCTTCTTGCAGTACATAGCCACGGCTTGGAGCCCCTCGTCGCGCACTGAGTCGAGCACCTGGCAAAGAACTTGTCATCAGAAAATGGGAACCATGGAGCAGCCCAGAGGTAAAACTATGGCGTGAAAGCAATCTGGTCAGTACCCATAGCGTCTCGAGGCTGCGGCATTGCCCGATGAAGAGCAGGACTTGGTCGGGGTTGACAGGGGCGTAGCTCAGGTCCATGCTGGTTAAGTTGGCGGCGACCGTGGCAATGGTCGGCAGGTACTCCGGCGCGAGATCACGGAAGCCGGACAGCGACACCAGCGAGTTAGCCCGGCCGGCCGACGCGAAGGCGGTCAACATCTGACCAAAGTCGAGCCCCTCGTCCTCGGCGCCGTCCCCCGGCCGGAACGAGCCCGTGCCGAGGTGCGTGAGGCGAGGCATGAGCGCCATGAGCCGGCGCAGCTGGCCGAGCGAGACGTGCTGGTTGATGCGCAGGCGGCGGAGGCGCGGCGAGCGCGCCACGAGAGCCTCGAGGGCGGCGAAGGGTACCTGCGGGGTGAAGCACTCGAAGGAGAGAGACTCCAGGTCGGTGTGGCCGCGCGGAAACGCCGCCACCCAGTCCGACACCTCGTCGTCCTCCTCCTCGTTGAGCTCGCAGTCCACCACGTCGAGCACACGCAGCCCTCTGCGCGAGAACCAAACCAAACCAAATGGAGGTACGCCATTATTAGTCCGCCATTACCAAGTAGTGTGTGAGAGGGACATGTAGCAAGCTGGAATGGAAGGGAATGGCATTATATTACCTGCAATGGGAGGCGAGGGAGGCGAGGCCGCGGGAGGAGAAGCCGTCGCAGAGGAGGAGGGAGAGCTCGCGGAAGGAGGGCGGGAGGGAGCGGGCGAGGAGGTCGAGGTCGTCGTCGGTGACGGTGATGCGCTTGAGCGAGAGGGAGCGGAGCGCGGGGAAGGCGGCGGCGGCGAGGGCGGCGGCCCAGGGGCGGAAGGCGGAGGCGGCCCAGCCGGGGGGCAGCAGGTTGAAGTCGGCGAAGCGGGGGCGGCCCTTGAGGAGGATGTGGTGCGCGTTGGGGAAGCGCCGCGCGGCGCGCGCCGGGGAGGCGGCGAGGATGTTGCGGACGGCGACGGAGGCGCGGGTGGCGGACTCGGCGCGGTGCCAGGAGCGGCAGACGAGGGAGGCCGCGCCCCGGTCGCCCGGGGCCCGTAGGAACTGGAGCACCGTCTCCAGCACGTTGTCGAGCACCTGGTCGGGCGGCGGCGGCGGAGGCGGCGACGCCGCGCGCGGCCGCTTGGGCGGCGCCCCCGCCGCCTGGTCCTCGTCCTCCTCGG